GTTTTGGACATCCTTCGTCGCGGCGCTGTGACGTATGCAGCCGACAAATTCGGCCTTCGGAGAACCCGTTCTGCTGTTTTGGACACAGCGCTTAACTCATTTAAAAATCAATCAAACTGAATCGTGAATCGAATTGATTGGGAAATCTGAATCAATACCCAGCCCTAATAATATATAAAAAGCTCTAACTGAACCTCCAACTYRGTCTTAATCAAAAGCCAAAGAAAAGAGATGGGTCTTCAGCAAAGATTTAAAAGCCTCAACCGTCTGAGCTGACCGAATTTTAAGAGGTAAACTGTTCCACAGCTTTGGAGCGGCTTTTGCAAAAGCCCGATCACCTCTAGATGTCATTTTGGATCCAGGAACATCTAAAAGAAACTGGTTGGTAGACCTGAGTGCTCTGACTGGAGTGTAGATGTTAAGAAGATCCCATAAATATGACGGAGCTAGACCATTGAAAACTTTAAAAGCCAACAATATAGGCAATGGAGGGGTGATGGTTAGAGTCACCGAGTGACCACTCCTCTGWAGACCAAAAGAATCAAATGTGAGYCCACCTGAAGTTTGGACCAAAACTGGGTCCAACAAAGCAATGATCCCCAACACAGCGGCTAAWCTACAACAGAACGGGTCAAAAAGAAAARAATCATGGTGCTGCAACGGTCTGGAGTCCAGAGCCTGACTGAAATGCTGATGAGCTGAGCAGAAATACTGATGCAGTGTCAATAAGAACRCATAAAGAACCAAATTCAAAAGAAAACTGGTTCAGAACAATCTTAGCCTGGATGTGTGATTTACATTTTAACGATCCAATAAAAAAAGGATCCTTCATCCACCAAGAACTACAACCGCTTTCTTTTTTCTTTTTTCTTTTCTTTTTTTTTTTCTTTTTTGGTTTGACGCTGCAGCAAAAAGAAAAAAGTGGCTGTATGAGATTTATTCATCTCTTCCTGCCGGACCAACAGCCTCCTCTGTAAACCCATCAATGACACTTTTTCACACTGGTCCAGATGCTCTCCTCTGACAGCCAGAACTACAGCCTCCCATCCTCCCAGGCGGTAAACAAGCTCGCCAGACGCAACCCACACCACCACCACTCACACCCCCCGCTCTCCGATTATCAGTCCACTCGGTATCGGCTCCAAATGCCATTTCAGAAACACTTCTGCTGCATTTTAAATGGACTGCGGCACTTAAAAACTGATTACTCAGCATGCAGTTTGCCCTGTTCTTTTTGAAATCAAAGAGAACTTGAACGCTTCAAGACTCTGACCCAGTTATCCTCCTCATGCACTGCAGTGTGCCACAGAAGACTGAAGCGCTGTGCTTCAACTCAGACGAGTCGTTTAAAGACAATAAACACAAAGAGGAAGAGAAAGGAGGTGAGCAGAAGAAGTTGCCCAGCAGGTAAGAAAAAAAATGCACTCAAGTTAGAAATACCTGCAACTACAGAATGGACGGAGAGAGAGGAGACATGCCTGGGAAGGAGGAATTGCCCATTCTCCGCCTTGATGCAACTGTTTACTGTCCTCTAACAGTCACTTCTTTCATCCATGCACTTTTCTTCTACTGCTCTGCCCTTTTTTTTTTTGTTTTGTTTTTTTGCTCCAGTTTCAGCCCTTCCCTCTGAGAGCATCCATATCTGTGATGAGAGCACGCCGGAGTGCAGAGGAGCTTTTAACCATGTCTTACCCCGGCCACTGAACAAACTCATCTTTTATGGATGCACAGCCCTCCCCTCTCTGCTCCTCTTAAAGGGCCTGCACCTCCTTCCATCTCCTCCTCGCACGGACTGAGCCTGAACCTTCTCCTCATGGCTTTGTTAGTGGAAACATGGTGGGGAGTTGGAGTAATTCAGCATCATTACATGAGTTTGGAGCCTCCGAGCAGCTGAGGTGAGATGGTAATGAATGGTTATAAATAGCAGCGTAGCAGATAGTATCATTGTATATTAAACAGTGTTGGGTGTGAGGAAACCAACTGAGTGCGTCTGCTGTAAAAGGACTGAAAGTAAATTCTGCCTCGGCGCCGACGGTAATTTAATCCAGTGTGGAAGGTCATGAATTAATGAGGCTCAGTGGGTTTGAGAGAGAGACTGTTCAGGGTCAGAACCTGCATGTCACCCTCACTACGATATCTGAGAAATAAAACCTCCTGAGAGCCGAGAACAGGACATGTTTGTCTTCGGTAAATGGACAGAAGCAAAAAAAGATAGGATGGATAGGAAGGACAACTGACTGTAGGACAACAGGTAAGACAACTGACTGTGAGCTGTCTTATGGGTGGACAGGTAAGACAACAGACTGTGAGCTGTCTTATGGGTGGACAGGTAAGACAACTGACTGTGGGCTGTCTTATGGATGGACAGGTAAGACAACTGACTGTGGACAACAGGTAAGACAACTGACTGTGAGCTGTCTTATGGGTGGACAGGTAAGACAACTGACTGTGAGCTCTCTTATGGGTGGACAGGTAAGACAACTGACTGTGAGCTCTCTTATGGGTGGACAGGTAAGACAACTGACTGTGAGCTGTCTTATGGATGGACAGGTAAGACAACTGACTGTGGACAACTTTAAGGACAACAGGTAAGACAATAAACTGTGAGCTGTCTTATGGGTGGACAGGTAAGACAACTGACTGTGGACAACTTCAAGGACAACAGGTAAGACAATAAACTGTGAGCTGTCTTATGGATGGACGGGTAAGACAACTGACTGTGGAAATTTTTAAGGATGGACTGGTAAGACAACAGACTGTGGGCTGTCTTATGGACAGACAAATGGTACAATCTAGGGGACAAACATTAAATCAGATCCACATAATTTCCTTTGAGTTTCACTCATTTCTGTCCAGTGTCTCATGAGATATTTTGCTAACAGTCAGATAGAAATAATCCCATCATTCAGCAGTGGGAGACATTGATAACTGATGAATAGTGCCACATTTCGAAGTTTTCGATATGAAGAAAAAAATAAGATTGTAGACACCTGTGATGCTAATTAGTGGACACACCTTGATTTAACATGTCCCTTTGGTCACATTATTTTCAGGGGTACCATCATTTCTGTCCAGGCTTGTTTTATGAGTTTTTTTTTCTTTCTGTTTAAGCATGGTTGAAAAACAATCTGACTTGTCTGTTCATTTTTATAGAATTTTTTTACTTATTATTACTTTTGTTATATTCTAGTTATTTCTGTGACCATTGTGGGTTTTTTCTTTCATTAAACGAGTGGTCTGGTCCAGGACAGAGCAGGTCACTGAACGAACACTGTGTGGAAAATAAACTATCCTGTACAACTAAAACAGATTTGCAGATCACTGCTCTGTGACCTGAACTGATTGCTGGTGAATAAAACATGCAGATAAATTAAAGATGGCACCGACTTGGCCTTCAGAGGGCTGATGTTAGCATGGTGGTCAAAGAAACGCTCCTCACAGCAGGTGATCTCCACCACTTCCCAAACCACAACTGGGTTCATGGAAAGATATAAAAACATCCCTACAAGATGTCTGATGGACGTTAGTGTCTTTGTCTTCTCATAAAGAGACGCTTCAGACTCTGTTCTGGCAGTTTTATAGGCGGTGAGGTAATTAAGACGCCAAGTCACAACTCAGCAGGACATAAATCACCCTAAACACAAAACTGAAAATTACAGACGTGACACAGGAGTAGTGTAGAGAAGTCAGAGACAAGACAGATGTACTGTATGTGCAGCAGAAGATTTTTATTATTTTATAAAGAATTAATCTAAATAAGATTAATTTAACTGTGCATAGAGCAGATCCAGTATAAGACCAGGACAGGCGATGAGAAGCAGAGACGCCAAATCACTCAACGGTTTTAACCTGACCATCTCAGATTTTGATGAAAATTGGCATATAGCACAGTATCTCAAATTTTAGGTCAATCAGACGACTGGTTCCAGAGATWTAGCCTCCCAAAATTTTGGATTTTCCGCAAAAATGGATGCACCCACCTATTTTTAATCCCAATTATCTCAGGAAGTACCAAGTCACTTTTCACAAACTTGGTATCATTGGACAGATAATTTGATAAGGATTCCAAAGGTTAGGGTCTATTAAATGTTTGATCCTTCCTACAACCTTGAAATTGACCTTGTTGATCACATGACCTTGAAATGACCTTTCCTGAAATTAACTTTGTGTTTTTGCCAATATTCACTTATTTTTGTTTTACGCAAATCTAACCTGCAAGTTCTGATTTCATCCTTTTGATTTGTAGTACAGAAAAAAAAGAAGTTGTCTGGTGAACAATCCTGCTACATCACAAGAAAAACTAAATTTATAACTATAAAAGCAGAATTTGTGAAGAAAAAAATTTAATCTATTTTAAAGACTAGAGTCATTAAGGAATGGAGAAATGTTTATTTTAGGGAGATCTGAACACCTAAATCAATCTCAACTTCAAAGTCCACTGTAGCAGAACTTATCAATCATTTAAGCTACGTTCACCAACCAAAGCTTTCTGATGGTTCTGGTCACCAGTTGAGCGGTCGGTGTGTTCCCAATAAATCCAGAGCRGGAGGAGAAAAGGCAGGTAGATGATGAGGAAACTCCAGATTTATGGACAGCCGTGGCGCCGACTGATGTCGGGCAGAGCAGCTGCTGCTGCAAGCTGGCCGAAGTAGCTGAATAATGAATTTGGATGCTGCAGACGTGCACTTCCTGTAACCCCCGCATGAATCACAGAACGGCGGAGGAACCGACAGGTGGAGAACTTCAAARGATCTGATGTGTCGTCATGTAGACCTCAAGACAGCAGCACTCAGAATTAAAACTAAAGAGGAGCCTCAATTACTGTAAAAACTATTTTTGACAGATTGTCACAAAAGTTCATGATTTAATAAGGTCATCCAATAACTGTCAAAAGACAAATTCTTCAGCTTGAAACAATTTTAAATTTAAACTTTTCTGAATTTTCAACTTTAAAGAGACAATTTTTCTCCAACTAGAGCTGCTCGATATGATCTGAGCATCAACGTGTGCACAACAGTCACACTGCAGGTTCTGTGATGTAGGAGGCAAATTAAATCAACGTGTTTTCTAGAGACTAAAGACGCCCGGTTTGAATGAATAAGTGATTAAAGGCTTCTGCAAAACTTCAAGAGGTAATTCAGTCATTGAATTAGGTGTGATTGAGCAGGAAAACAAGTAAAACATGCAGGATAGTGGGCCTGGAGGACCAGGAGTGCCTGCTTTACAACATGGATCATTATCAATAGCATTTAATGGTTGAGAAAACTGTATATTTTTTTAGATTTTAAACAGGATAAAACTAGAGTTGGGCATCGAGCCTCGAGTATGGATTGGAACTGAGATTAAGGTTACGATTCTCCTGGAATCRTTCGGATTGTAAAATTTGATTCCTAGTTTCAATACCCTGAACGAAACCTGCACGTGAGCCGTCAGAACACCAATGAAGAAGAATCTGCAGGWAGTGTGTGCAAACGGTCAGTGTGCAGCGGCGATCTAAAGTGTGGCTTCACTTTAATAAAATAAGATTAGGTCAGGCAAAGGAGGCCGCACAACCAACATGACGCGCTGCGCCAGCCTTCGCTGGCACTCGTGGGTAAACAACGAGATACTGCATGGCGGTAACCAGAGTTATAAAGTAAATAAGTACAAGTACTTTGTTACTGTACTTAAGTTGAAACTTTGGTTATCTGTACTTTACTTAATTATTTTTCAATGTACTTTTTGCTTTTACTCATTACATTTTTACACAATTATCTGTACTTTCTACTCACTACATTTTTCAAAAAGGTAAGAAGTAGAAAGTCGTTACTCCTATTTTATTCTGAGTAATTACTTAAAAAATACTATCCTGACTAATTGTCTCCTGGATAGAGTTAATTTAATTGTGGTTGGATGAGAAGTATAAATATATACCATTCTGACACACTATTAGCGTGTACACAACCCATCACAGCTGCACGCCGTTAGAAAATATATATTTTTGGAGAAGTCACCTCCCAATAAATGTCATTTTGGAAAATCTAACTGCTCACTTTTACTCAGTACTTTTACTTTTAATACTTAAGTCGATTTTGTGTCAGAAATTTACTTTTGATAAATAGGTACAAAAAATATCCGATACTTTAAGACTTTTACTCAAGTAATACTTTTAGAGAAGACTTTAACTTTTACCAAAGTACTTTTAGGATTAGATACTTATACTTTTACTCAAGTATCACTTTGAGGTACTTTAACATAATGACCCCCGCACGCACAAATGGACCAGAACTCTGAAGTCTTTATTCCTAATAAATGTCATGCTACTAGGTGCATCCCAAAACTGTAGTGGTTTGGGTGGGGTCCTTTTTTTGGGGAGGGGGGCATTGGTTTACCTGATGGATAGCCCCTCATCAGAGCTAAACAACCAAAGAAAACCTTTAGTTCCTATGTTTAATAGTTTTTGAGCAACAACCATTTTTGCATGTCCAGATACACCCTTTTCAGATAAATTGGGGGTCTGGGGGGGGCACTGATTGGTGGGCCTGATGGATAGAGCTTCATCAGAGCTAAAYAACAAAAGAAATCTGAAGCTTCTATGTTGAACAGTTTCAGAGTTATAAGCATTTTTGCATGTCCAGACACCCCCCTCTTTGAATGGAGCCCCCTCCTCAAATATGGGGTCCATCATAAAACCGTTGGCTGGTGCAGTGTATGTCAGACTCATCTACAGCCCTGCCAAATTTCATGTTGATTGGTGCAGCCGTTTTTGTGCTGCGATTGACCAAAAATCACTGGAAAAAAAAAAAACAGTACGAAAACAATATGACTCCCGCTTACGCTTCGCGTGTGGGAGTCAAAATAAAATATGTTTAATACAAACACTGAAGCAGCTAACAAATTTTACTAGACCTTAAATCTGTAACATCAGCTCAGTCACACGTTGAAGTAGCTGCAGCATCAGATTTGTGACAATGGGCCTCATGCAAGAACATGTTCGTATTCTTATCCTAAATTTCTCTAAATTTTGTTCGTACGAAGGGTTCGTACGAACATGTCGCGTCAGATTCAACAAACTCTTCTATCTTCAGGAAAAGTGTGTAAATGAGC